AGATGTTATATTATATTATATGTTATATGTTTTACGGTTTGTGTTCCCCCCCTATGGATTGTAAGCCGCCCTGAGTCCCCTCAGGGAAAAGGGCGGCCTACAAATTCTAATAAATTCTCAAATTCTCAAATCTTCAGCATTATTTTGCTAGCCTGTGAAATTAAAGATATTTATGATTGTTTTCACATTCTATTAAGCCTCTTGTCTTATTATTAGTCCTTAGACAGGCCTCTTCCCATCTGCTAGCCACTGTTTTGTATTCCACATTTGGTTAGAACTAAGAACCTTCCTGAGATTTTTGTCTTTCTTGACTTTGGCTTCTTTTCTTGGCAGTTTCCTCGGTTCTAACAATCAATTTGCTTTCTTACTTTTTTTTTTTTACTTCAGCAGTCTCTTTTTCATCCTTAACAATGACATTAATCTAACTCCATAGTTTCTCTGTGATAGGGAACCAGGCTATCTGGCCAGTAAATGCTCAACTGCATTCTAAATGCTCAACTGCATTCTGTCACCCTAACTCTATCCTGAATTAAGGAATACAGGGTCATAAAAAGAAAAAAAAAGCATCTTATTACAATTGGTGGTATCAAGTTATACATTTTGAAGACTTAGCCGTCAGAATTAAACTTTGCACCCAAATAAGGGGTTTGAGCAGAGGTGGGTTCCGGCAGGCACTACTGCCAGTTTGCTCCTGTGTGTGCATACACAGTGCAATAAAAATTGCTCTACACATGCACAGAAGTGAAAAACAAGATGGTGGTGCCTATGGCGCTGCCCAGAGAACCAGTTCAGGGGCGTGGCAGGCCTGGGTCACTGCCGGTTTCAGCAACCCAGGCTGCCAAACCACTACCGGTTCAGCCAAACTGGTCCGAACCGGTAGGAACCCACCACTGGGTTTGAGGAAGAGACTTGCTTTTTGCTGTTTATTTCTTGAAGCCAAATGATGAGACCTCATAGAACAGCCTTAGATTAATTTAGTAGAAAGTAGAAATGATCCAAACTATATTATATTTTAGGCAATTATTTGGCAGTTTGATTGTTATATAGTTTCCTGACAGGTGGAAATTACAAGGATGACATTTATTGCTATAAAGACATAACAAATAAATAGGCAATGTGTTTTTGCTGCTTAAAGGGGCTCTTCTTTTATGCAGTTCAATCACGGAGCCTGCTGTTCTATGATGAGCACAGGGGCTCCTTAGAGGAGACCTACAGCTCCTTCATTTCTGTGGAGCATTCTGAAGAGTGGGAAGCTGAAAAAAATGTGGAAGAAGAGAAGCAGCCACAAGCGGACGTGCACAGTAGCCTGACTGCGGCTTATGAAACAGTCAAGTATCTGAACAAAACCCCTGTTACAGGTCCAAATCAGAATCAGACCAGCTCAACTCTTACTCATTCCAAGGAAAGCTTCCCTGAGAGGTAAGCAGAGTTGTGATTGCTTGTATCAAGGCTTCCATTCCTATCTAGACCTTAAAATAAATTTGTCTCATTTTTAACCAATTTCTAGGCCATTCAGTGATTGCCGACCCCAGCAGTTAATATTGCACGTTTTTATGAGTCTATATCAGAATCTTCATTGTTGATGATTTCTGCCAGTCAGTCTGCTATTAAAGACAAAGAACAGGCTGGGCTTTCTCATTCTCAATTTCCGGCAGGGTAGCACTATCGATCCGCTGCAGCAGAAACAATTAAGGAGTTGTGTGGTACTTTGAGGACATGCATTACGGCAAGCTCTGCATCACAAAAGCTCAAACTAGAATGAGTAATTTTTGGTTCTTTTTCTCCAACTATAAGTTATCTGTTTCAAATCTCAGGCAAAGAAGCTTTATGGACTATGGAAACCTCAATTAACAGAGAATAATTTTCAATGTCTATCAAAAATATGTTAGAATCAGAATGTTGTATGACATATGTGTATTTCAGATTGATTAGACTGGCCTTCATCTTAGGAATTACTAGCCCACTCAAGGCTCTATCCTTCTTCTCCCTTGCTAATTATCCCATTTTTAACCATTGCCAGGGCTAAGGGCTTATTTGCAGACAATGTGTTCAGCTCTAGCACTGAAAGAGAACCTTTGCTATTCAATTTGTGACAGATTGTAGCCGGTATAATATCTGACACTATATGTGACATTAGGGCAATTGAAAATAACGGAGAGATCAAGGTATTCTGAGGAACTGAAACAATCTTCCAAAGAATCCAACCAAGGGAGGATCCGCTCAACGGTCTTTGACTGACATGAAGAGGTAATAAGAGGTGGTAAAATAGATGGGTAATGTTTTGGTTTTATCTTTTCTGCAGGAATGGAACCTCCAGTGACACAGCTGAATATTTGTAGCAGCTGCAAACTCTCCGGGCCTCTTCCATCTGGATGCAGGATCCTTTCCTAGTGATGTGACTGGCGTTGCAATCCTTTGCATGCTTACCTAGAAGTAAGCATCATTCTTAATTCTAAGTAAGCATGACTAGGATTGCAAAATTGAGGGGTTGGATTGCAGTCTAAACTGACAAACTCATAAATACAACTGGATGGGAATTATTTCTGAGTAAAATGAACAGGCTTGCACTGTGGGAGGAGATGTCCTACCTAGACAGCTCCAAGCTGGCCTTGAGTTTAACCTCTTATTCACTCACACTTAGGCCCTGGTATTAATACTGATCTTTCTGTCAGATTTCACATTTTCCATAATCAGGGATAGCACCTCCACCCTCTAATGTATTCTCACTTGTAATTGAAGTCTACTACCCAACTCCATCATTCCCAAATAATTTTTGTTTCTATGTCAACAAAAACATTCCTGTTCAGCTACTGATTTTTGAGATTTTTGCATTAGTTTTTTTACATAGTTGTATACTTTACAATTAAATATCCAGATAAGAGGATATTTCAAAAAGAAACTTTTGCTGATCAAATATGACATCACCACGTGAAACAGATTGCATATCACGTTTATGTCCAGTTAAGAAAAAAAATAGTCTTCTAAAAAGTGTTTCTCATGAATACAAATCATAATCAATAAAATCAGTCCTTTTATCTGATGATTGGAGAGTCTGAAATTTACTTCTGAATAAGAAGTAAAAGATATTGCAATCTTTGATATTTGTTGGGTGTTTTTTAAACTTTGGCTTTTCTTTCAAATAGTCCAACAGCAGCCCATTTGAGTGAGGTCCTTCTTTATCTTACACTGTTCCTTTAAAAGATGAGATTGCCATAAATGACCCGTATCCATATGGACTAAGAAATTTTGTTTGACCATTTCTACAAATGTTCCTCCTCAATATGCAGAGGACCAAAGATAGTGGGCATCTTGATGTCTCCCGCCCCCACAATACACACATATGCAAACTTACATACATGCATTTGGGACAGATAGATCAGCATAGTTCTGCAATGATTGCCATTTCAATAGTCAATATACAGAAATTTTCCCCAGTAATTCTTTGTTAAAGTCCACTAGGACACACACTACAAATTTCTATGTATTCACCTCTCAAAAAATCTGAAACCAGCATAAAGAACCACTTCTCAACAAGTGGGTATCCTTGACATCCTTGTCATTAGTCATAACTTCTGAGAATTGTCCACATGTGCCTCAAATTCATATTGTTGTACAGAGACCAAAAGCAGAAATTGTTTGTACATAATGAATTTTATTTTGTATTATTGCCAACTCTTAAGATAATGTATTTTGGAGATCCTTAAGTCCTATTTTCTGTATTGTATTTTATTAAGAGTTATTGCGGGCTTTGCACCTGTGAATTTCCTCTCTTTGCAACGTACTGTTTCCACTCAGTCTAGCCACTGATGTTTGCCCTGTTTGTTTCTAATATATCGCTCTTTCCTTCTTCTCTCGGCTCTGCAGTCGCTTTCAAGCAGCAAAATTAAAAAAAAAGATGCAGCATCAGCTCTGTTGTTCGGATTGTTCATTATTTAACTGAGAGGTTATTAGTTTAGTAAATGTTTGTGGAGCCCCACTATCCATCCCTGAATGGTTACAGCTTCGCCGCCGCCCGCCCCTGCTTTCATGAGCAGAGGTCTTCTACCCGAGCCAAAAGGGCTTCTCTGAAGGCTTGTACAGAACATGCATTACTGAGAAATTATGAGAGCAGTTCCTCTCTTCAATCTATCTTTCCAATCCTGCAGCCACAGCCTGGTAATAATCAACTATAATATTATATATAATGGATGGGAAAAGTCATATTGCAGGAGATCTAATTTCACTCTTCTGAGAAAAGGATATTTGCTTTCTAAAACAAATGAAAATATGTTTTCTGGCCATTGGGAAAGCAACAACAACAGAAAATGTTATGGAGCTAGCTCTGCTTTGCAATGGAAGATTCAACTCTGACCTAGAGATATTTTCAGATATTGGAGCTAGTAATATGTATGAAACTTTGGTTTGGGTAACTTAGCCCTTGGCACAAATTCACCTGTGCTGTAGGAGGAGACCCCATCTTTTGCACTTCTGTCAGTGGCAAGGCTACATCTGCAAACACTGGGATGAACTGTCTGTAAAAGTTTGCAAATCCCAGAAAACTTTGAAGTTGATGATGGGTACGTGGGAGCTGCCAGTTGAAGACTTCTTTTACTTTTTCTGGGTCCATTTCCACTCCTTCACTGGATATCTGGTAGCCCAGATAATCTAGCAAAGTTTTGTGGAATTCACATTTTGACAGTTTAGTATATAGCTTGGCAGCAAGGAGGTTTTTTTCCAGCACTTGTTGCACTAGCTTCTCTAAAGTCTCACTTTAGAGGAACATGCACAGAAGCCAAAAACAAGATGGCATTGCCTATGGCACTGCCGAGAGAAACAGTTCAGGGGCACGGTAGGCCATGTTACTACCTACTTATCCAAACCGGTCTGAACCAATAGGAACCCACCTCTGGTCTCACTGAATATGAGAATGTAATCCTGGTAGACAAGAACCCCCGATACAGATGTTCATGCAGCACTTCATTGATTAGCTGCATGAAGACTGTAGTGGCCCCTTGCAAGCCAAATGGCATGACTTTAATTTGGAAACTCCCATCGGGTAGCTGAAGGCAGTTTTCCACTCATTCCCTTCTCTAATCTCTAGCCTCAGATTCTTATTTGATTGAGGATGCTATTTGGAACCCTGACATTAACCCGAATCTGAAGGCTTCCAGCTTTTCCTCACCCAGTTGAAAGTTCAAGACCCTGCCCCAACCGCAGACACGTTGCCAGGCAACCCACAAGTGCCCAAAGAATACAGAGACTTAGCAGGGGTTTTCAGTGAAGAAGACTGCAATTTCCTCCCCCTCGCCACCCCACGGACTGCGCAATAGAATTTGTGCCAGGGGGTAAGCTATCCAAACCAAAAAGGTACTTCCTCGGTTCCTCCATTTCTCTTGGAGTCATGTTTTTAAAAACAAACCTTTTTATGTCTAGAAAAAGTCGCAAGAAGTAAAGGGGTCATAAGCAGGTACTGCCTCTGGTAACATTTCTATCAAGGCCCACAGATAAATAGGATTCCTCCTCTTTCCCCCAGCAATTCCAATTAATACTGGATCTCCATTGGTGATAGTAGCATGACCTGGGAGGAAGAAGTGGGTGTATAACTAATTACAGATTATCTCTCAAGAAATAAAATTGTCTAGAGCTATAAAAAGTTAAGGGTGGAAAAGTAGACTACAAACTCTTTTGAACTGTTCTCTGAAGGTGCAACACCCCAGCAATCTTGGGAATATTAAATTAAGAAGCTTGGCCTGCAAATAAAGACTTGCAGATCCTGCTTCAAAATATTCAAGTAATCTTTCAGCACAAAACGCCCACCAATCTAAAAATATCACAGCCTGGAGGATGCTGCCAGCTTTTTCCATCATAAAATGTGAGCAAATCCTTGCAATCAGAGTACACATGAAGGCTGTTTTCACAAGTTGCATGATAACTGGGTGTTCATATTTTTAATTTCCTGCATTTCAAGCTCAAGTGAAAAAGGAAGCTATGGTAATGATAATGAATACTCTTTTTCTAATGGCACTCTTCCTCTTTATAAATTTTAACATTAACAGTATTCACAGAACTGCACACAGCCATACATATCAGAGCCCTTTGTCTGCGGGGATATGAAAACTCGTAGCATTAAGAACCACAATTAATTAGAAACATTAATTTGAAAGCCCACTGAATTCCAGATCTAGTCCAAGATGCTGGGCTACATGCCCTCAGTCTGGTTCAGTAGAAATATTTTGAATTTTTACTCTCTTAAAATAGAAAATGTTCTTCACATTTCAAGTGTCAAGCGTAAACTGGGGAGAGAACTTAGCATGTTGACTTCAGCAGTACACTATTCCCATGGCCAATGTAATCTTTTTCTTATATTTTTAGATCAACTTTGCTCATGCCATGGAAACTGTAGACACTTTCTTTTTTGAAACAATATACTTCCATATGATAACAGCTGTTCTGCATTTTTCATTTGGCTTCATAAATGCTTGATTGTCAGGAGCTTTCATCTAAGTAGCAGGAGTTACCACAATCAGGAGGCACTGCAGGAAGAATTCTCCTTCTGATGGATCCCTTTTCTTGTTTAGCTCTGTGCCATTGACACCTCTGCAGGCCTAATCTTTGTGGGGGTGTCTCATTCAGAGTATGCCTCACAGAAAACAGGGTGGACTGGTGGTACGTGCTATTAACATGTCAAAGGAACATGTTAATTCATATTTCTGTGCAATATAACACAGTTATTTGGGAAGGATTTTGTCAAGAAGAAAGAGTAGATAAAAGGCCACTGTTACTGTAATATGAAATTTCATTGCTCAATTTACTGTAAATATTCTCTAGCCTTGTTTTGCTGTACAGGTAGTCTTCAACTTGCAACAGTTCATTTAGTGACCATAGTTGCAACAGCACAACAGGAAAAATGACTTATGACTATTTTTCACACTTAAAACTATTGCAGCATACCCTTAGTTACGTGATCAAAATTCAGATGTTTGGCAACTGGTTCATATTTTTGATGGTTGAATGCTCTAGGGTCAGGTGATCAGTTTTTGTAAACTTCTGATCAAGAAAGTCAATGGGGAAGCCAGAGTCATTTAGCAACCATGTTACTAACTTAACAACTACAATGACTCACTTAACAACTTTGGCAAGAAAGGTCATAAAATGGGACAAAACTCACTTAACAAATGTTTGACTTAGCAATATAAATGTTGGACTCAGTTTTGGTCAGAAGTAGAAGACTACCTTTACTACAGTTTCATTATAATAATATGTTGAAGGGCTATACATGACAATAAGCTATGATTGGCTAGGTTCACTCAATATATTAATACAAAAATAAAACTATGGTATGACTTAGCAATGAACCAAATCACTATGCCAACTAGTTAATCTATCCTTTAAAAAAACCCATATTAACACAAGTTCAGGCCACAAACTACCTGAATTTAGAATAACAGAGTTGGAAGGGACCTTGAAGGTCTTTTAGTCCAACGCCCTGCTTAGGCAGGAAACCCTACACCACTTCAGACAAATGGATATCCAACATCTTCTTAAAAACATCCAGTGTTGGAGCATTCACAACTTCTGGAAGCAAGTTGTTCCATTGATTAATTGTTCTAACCATCAGGAAATTTCTCCTTAGTTCTAAGTTGCTTCTCCCCTTGATTAGTTTCCACCTATTGCTTCTTGTCCTACCCTCAGATGCTTGGGAGAATAGTTTGACTCCCTCTTCTTTGTGGCAGCCCCTGAGATATTGGAACACTGCTATCATGTCATCCCTAGTCCTTCTTTTCATTAACTAGACATACCCAGTTCCTGCAACTGTTCTTCATATGTTTTAGCCTCCAGTCCCCTAATCATCCTTGTTGCTCTTTCCAGAGTTTCAACATCTTTTTTACATTGTGGCGACCAAAACTGGATGCAGTATTCCAAGTGTGGCCTTACCAAGGCATTGTAAAGTGGTATTAACACTTCACATGACCTTGATTCTATCCCTTGGCAATAGATAAGTTTGAACTCAGCCCTTATAACTTTAAATAAGATTTATATTTTAGTGCAATGGGTGAACAGTACCATGCCTCGACAAACCATGGTTTAGTGTAAACTGTAAGACCCATCAGTGGTATTCCACAATTAAACATAGACTTTTATATTTATCAACATTTCCATTGTACCTGCATTTTTAAAGTATAATTGTCCTCCATTTATCATTTAGTTGCATCTTATTTGTTTACCTAGGGTGTTTGCTGGAAATTTATTTAATTTTATTTATACAGCAATGGCACCTAGACTTATATAACACTTCATAGTACTTTATAGCCCTCTCTAAGCAGTTTACAGAGTCAGCATATTGCCCCCCCAACCACCTGGGTCCTCATTTTACCGACCTCAGAAGAATGAGTCAACCTTGAGCCGGTCAGGATCGAACTCCCGGCAGGCAGCAGGCAGCAGAATTAGTCTCCAATACTGCATTTAACCACTGCTCCACCATGTCTCTTAATCCCTTATTCCTTATAATTTTTATAAACAACACAAGGTGGTGAACATATATAATATTCCTCCATCCCATTGCCCCCACAACAAGAGCCCCAATGAGATGAGTTGGGCTGAGAGAGAATAAATGAGATCAACCAGCTGGCTTTCATGGCTAAGGCATGTTAGAAGTTAAAAGTTTTCCAGTTTCTAGCCTGTTGCCTTAACCACATTGTTTAAAGTCTCCGGCAATTCAGGTAATGCAGAGGGAAATGTCAACACTAAACCACGTTACAATTCCCTCACTTCCTGCATCCAACTGTTAGATCTGAACAGTTTTCATTCTTAGAATTCACATCCAAATGCTCCAATTCACTATACAAGTGCTATTATTTTTTTGTTAACAATAGACCTCACCCAGAGTTTCTTTTTGTTTGAGCC